AGTCAATGACATTGCTTATAGTGGCCTTTTGTGGCAGGTTGGATACTTTCCAAAGACAGTAATCATTGTTTTGGTCTATCTGTCACTCAGCTGTTACTTCTGAAACTCTATAATAACGGCCTTAACCCTCTTTAAGCCTTTTAAAGTGAGAACATCTCAGCCACATATAACAATAAATTATGGGACAGTGATATTGAGGTTTTTTAAATTCTTCATTAAATCACTATGTACAGATTACAGTATTTTCATGGCTATTCATGGGGAGGAACAGTAAACAGACTGGAGTAAGGGCCAAAGATCTGTTCTATGGAACAATATTTTTAATGTGCAGTACACTGGACATTAGGAGCTGCGGTGGCTCAAGTGGTTAAGACGCTGAACTGCAGGCTGTGGAAGGTCAGTAGTTCAGCAGTTCGAGACCCGATTGTGCCGCATGATGGGGTGAGCTCCCGTCTCTAGTTCCAGCTCCTGCCATCCTAGCAGTTCGAAAGCAAGAAATTGCAAGTAGATAAATAGGTACCACTTCGGTGGGCGCAACCCTAGAGTCGGATTCGACTGGCTTTCGAGCAAGGGAACCTTTACCTTTACACTGGACATTTCCTTTTCTTTTCCCTTGGCTGCTTCAGTTGATGGTCCTATTTCGTGCATTCTGCCTCTCACCTTAAATAAATGCTCTTATAACCATTACTGTGGTTACCTAATACAAATTTCCCAGTTTAATAATATGCTCAGTTTGTGGGTGATTTATAATGAAATGGCGGAGGACGGCTTTTAGCAGTGACAAAAGGAAAGGAGAGAGAGAGAGAACCTACAGTAGGCCCATTGAACCATCCTTTTTGCCCTCATAATACTGACACCAGCTTCTGCAGATGTCTTGGGGACAGGCAGGTAGGTCAGCGTTTCCGACCTTCCTTTTCCACAAGAGGGTTTATTCCTTAACACAGCCTCCTTTCCCTCCCCTCTAGAATGCAGGAAGCCTACAAGGTTTAGGGAATTCTTCTGGTTCCTCTATCTGTTCTTTGTCTATTTCTTTTCCCCATCTCTACCCTCAGATAAGAGCCTGTCTGCTCATTAGATGGCAGAAACAAATGCTGACTGTATGTTGGTGTTAGTTCAGTGTTTCCAGTGTATAGTTGCACGTTTGGAAGCCCAGGTCCATTTTTTTAACTAGCAGACGTTCACACTGATCCGGGAACCCTGGTGTGCAATGCAGCCGGGTGTATTTGTTGCACAGCATGTAGCTGCCTTACAACCAGGAAATAACAGGATGGGACACTGAATTGTTCAATTGCTTTTATAGAATCTCCCATAGAGAAGGCAGCTTTAGATTCCCTGGGAATGGGAAAGGGTATTTACAGGCACTCAGCAGTGAATCCTTGGAGTTCAGAAATGGGTTATACATAGATGTAGGGCACTGGGGTCTTATGATGAAATGGAAGAACTCTTAAGTGCAGGGATACCAGTAGACTTTGGTGGAAAGAAGAGTGTTTGGGTTCTGTAGAATCTTGTGGTGTAATCTAGCATTTGGTATATGTGTACCTCTATATGTAATTTCTTTGGCTAAAGATTGACTAGGGCATCAATCGTGTGTTATATTTATATTCTTATGTAGACAAAAATGAAGACTTGCTAGAAAATACCAGCAGTATGTATGCCATTAAACTAAACATTTTTATTGGTGTTCTCTGAAACCTCAGATGTCCTGAGGACTTGTTCACACATTCCTCAGTGCCTATAAAGTAAGCTAATTTTTAAAAGTATTTTGTGCTGTGTCCTCCTTTGGGGTTTCATCACTAGATGTTAAAGGTAGTTCTGGAGCACGATGATAACTTGTGTTAATAACACTTCACCTTTCCTACTGTGAAGTGGTATGACTGAAGGACGGGGTGAATGAGACAGTCTCACTAAAGGCAAAAATATGCACGTGGGTGAAAATAACAGGTCTCCATCCAGCTGTAAAATGCAGACAGCAAGCTTATGCAGCCCCAGTATGTGTTGAGGCCATGCAAGAAAGGTAGAGAAGTTAAACCCTATAATCTTCACTTGAATTTGCTAACTGAAATATGCTTTCCAACACTGCTGTGGGTGTTGGAAAAGGAGAAAAAGCACCCTTTAAAAACATACCACCCCCATTAAAGGCTAATAGTAAAGTGTGGGAGAGTGACCAGAATACTTTCCCTGGACACGGAGTTTCCATATAAGTATAACTCTGAAATCGTTGTTCAGAGGTATACTGCCTCTAAAGATGGAGGTTCAGTTTAGCCTTCATTATGAATAGTCTTGATTGACCTTAATGGACATACATATATATATTTCCTAGGAATGTGCAAAAATACCACCATTCAGTATTTTTTAGGTTTGGGTATACTAAGCCTGAAAAACATCAGTATTTCCCAGTATTCCTGAATCCCAAACTAATATGGTATTCTGATTCAGGAAATATTCAGGAAACCTGATTTTTTTTTCAGTTCCATTATACCCTATGGGGACCATTGTAGTCAATGATCCACGTAGGTTATAATGGAGAATCGATCTGGGGCTGTGGGGGGTGACTGTTTTTTGAGGTAGAGGCACCAAATTTGCAGCATAGCTGCTGGTGCCTTTCCTTAAACCCCCCCCCCACAAGTTTCAAAAAGGGAGTCCAATTCTGTGCCCCCCAAAGAAGGTGCTCCCATTCTTTATTGAAACAAATGGGTGGGGGGTGTTTAAAGGGATTGCAGTTCCTTGATATGCCTTCTCCAAGCTGTTCAGACAGTGTTACTCCGAAGTCATTTAAAGGGACTGCAATTCCTTTAAAACCTTCTCCAAGCGGTGAGTTCACCTGGAGAGTGTTTAAAGAGACTATGATCCCTGTAAACACTTTCTCCAAACCCTTTAACTTCGGCTATCTGGTGGTCCCAAAATTTTATTTATTTATTTATTGGATTTATATCCTGCCCTCCCCTTGATGGGCTCAAGGCAGCTTCCAACAAAAAATCCTGAATATTTTTGGGAATTTTGGGGACCAGCTATTTCAGATAGCCGAAAAACAGATAAATCTCTATTCAGCTGAAAGAATATCTGGAAAATACCAATAACTTTTTTTAAAAAAAATCAGCTCGGATTTATCTGAACGCACACACCTAATTTTTTTCCTAATTAGGGCAAAATAATAGATTGGCTGTCTCCTTCCTGAACAGACCATTGCTCGAAACTGAATGCTAAAATTGAGGAACATTGTTCTGATCCAGTTCTTTTTTTAAAAAACTGATGTGGGGCTCACGGATGATAAATCCTTGACCACATTTATCTCATTGTTTGGAATTTGCACATTCTGAAGAGTTACTGAAAATCATAACCTGCACTGGCCGGGCATTTTTAAAAGAAGACGCATATAGGCTAAATCGGTGTTACTAAACTCTTGTCTTCCAAATAATAAGTAACCTAAGTGATTTTCAGTATCCTTGTCTGAAATAGTTTGTTCTTGTGATCAAAGTGAATGAGAGAGCAATTAATCCCAGAATCCTGCTTCCTGCTCCTCTTTCTCTTCCTCCAGGATTTCTTGGGAAGTATGGGCTATTTTGCTTCCTTATCTAGGGATGAAGATTTTATGGTATCACTTTGGATTGGCTACGGCTTTTTTTTCTTTTCTTTTTTCATTTAGGGGTTCAGTTCTAATTCGTGTTCAAGGCAGTGGATTGATTTTTTTTTTAAAGGTCCAGGTCAAGTTCACTGGAGCAATGCCCTCTCCTGCCTATGAAGTTATCATAATGGCCCTTGATGTGTTGTGCTGCATTGCCCACTTTCTCCCAGCTTAAACACTGATTTGAAAAAAGCAAGAAAAAAGCAAAGCTCAGACTGGGCGGCTAACATGTTTCGCTAATCTGCAATGTCCTTGGCTCTAAAAAATGTAATTACTAGGATAAACAGTCTTCAGCAATTTGTTCAAGGTATATTTTTAATGTCTTGGTTCATCTTTCCCAATTTGATCTGCAGGTTATATTTAAAAAATAGAAATGCATTCCAGTAGCTCATTTGGTAAAACCTGAACACTCTTACATCAAGTGAAATGAGCATAGGCTGATTTTATTTTGCCCAATTCTGTCTGGGGATGTCTCACCAAGGTTCAGGCTGAGACTTTTCCTGCCCTGTGGCTTAAAATCCTTTAGAGGTGCAGAGGCTGAACCTGGTTCTTGCACATGCAGACCACATACTTTTCACAGAGCTGAATTGTGACCCTCCCTGTACTGAACCTTGCTGTGTCGGGGGCTGAAGATTACCAGCCAAAATGGTTAGTCACAAGGTACCCTTCAGTAAGCAGTGCTTATGCAGGGTCCTTATTAAAATGTATTTGAGCTGACTGAGTGTATTTGGGGTAAATGTTTTAATCAAGCATTCATAATGGAAAATCTTCAAAATGTGTTGCAAGACACTTTGTACATACGTTTGGGAAGCAAATCCTCATGACCTCTAAAAATTGTAAGCATTTATGAAAAACTGTTGTACAGTAGAAAATGATAGATGAATTCATCCACATTTGTTTAAGTTCACTGGTATCTAAAGGTACCAAGTCTGAGTTATTAAATGAGCTAGATTTCGGGGGCATAAGGTTTTGGAAGTCAAAGCGCCCTTCGTCTGACGAAGCGGGCTTTGACTCTTGAACGCGTATGCCCTGAAAATGTTGTCGACCTTTAAGGTGCTCCTGGACTCGAATCTAGTTTTTCTACTGCAGACCAGCACAGTGACCCTCTGAGACTATCTTCACTGAGGTATTAAATGTCCTTTTAACACCACTATAGATTGAGTCTCTCTGTGTTGAACAATCCATTTGGTATTGCCGAGCTGCGTTCCTCTGCACATGTGTGGGATGTGTTGTGATTCGCCTGTGTTGTAAATGTCAACTTTTAGTATAAAAATTGGGCTTTGTCAATGGCTTAGGGAATCACTGTGTCTTCCGTTCTTTTCACTGATTCCCCCCTCCCCCCCCTAATCTCTTGGCATGTGATTTGTCTCTTCCGTAGCCTCAAGTACTACAACCTTCCAGCCACCTTCCCCGTTTCACAGACCTCGCCCAGGGAAAATTAATAAGAACATCACACATCGCGGCCCACAGTGAACACCCCAGTCAAGACCAACAGAGAAAACGTGGCCATGGATATCAAAATGCTGCCAATGGCTCCTCCTCCGCCCGTGGCCTAAACGAACCAAGCACTTTAAGCACGAAGTTAAAGAAGCCAGAGGAGAATGTGCATTCCGTCAAAAACGTAAGTGCCAGAGAAGAAACAGGAGAGCTGCCCGGTAGAAAAATGAGTATGCCTCAGCCTCATCCCTCTTCTTTGCAATCATCTACCCAACTGAATACACAAGAAGTCCAGGCCAAATTAATCCCCAAAAAGCATCGCTTGCGGATAAACCAGGCTTCGCCACCAAAGACTTCAAAACTTACAAAGCCCCCAAATCAGAATGATTTAGTGCCTCCTTCAGCTACTGTCGCAGCAGCATCCCCGGAAGACTGTTCAGCTCCAAAGGAGCCTGAACCACTGCCCCCAAGCGGTCCGACCCAACTGCAGTCGGAATCCAGTCAGATGAACCTGAATAATAAGGACCAGAGAACTTCTAAGCTCCGTCCTCCAACAGTATCCTTTAGGCACAGGCAGATGACAAATCCAAAACTTCCCGTATCTCCTGAGCCTCAGAACACCTGGTCGAAGGCAACCTGCTCGAAACCACCAGTGCAGGCAAAAGAAAATATGCAGAACCACAGCTCAAGTGTTCATTCTGGTGACAGTGGGGCTTCAAGTTGGCATTCCCGCCTCCCTAAACCAAAGACATATTGAAAGTTATGACTTGCGTATGTACATCTCAGTGTCTTGTGTCGCTACGCTGCTACTGTCGCCCTTTCTCACTTGGTTCAAAGTTCTTCATCAAAAGCCTACAAGCATTTGAACGACGCCTCTCTGCTGGTACTTGGCTGTTCTAATCTCTCATAATTTGGGGCCAGGTAGAAACAGGCATCATCCCTGCAGATCATGGTCTATTGAATGGTTGCAGAAGCCTGTGGTGTGTCCATCGACAGCACTGAAGAGAACAGCTTGAAAGAAATTGCTTGGCAAATGCTAAAGCTTTGCAATGATCACTGGTGGCTAGAGTTCTGCCGTCTGTTTGAGGAGCACAGGGTGCTTGTTCAAAATCCTAGTCGTTATTTAATTTGGACAGTTGAATAATAAACGGTTAAGGCTACACTTTTATTTGGTTCTGATTTAGCAATGGTATGTGATGGAATTCTATAGAGAGGTGATCTTTTTATCTTCGTTCTCAGCCATAACTGACTGCATCGCAGAGGCCTATGCAAGTTATTCCTATTTATAGAAACACTTTACCCAAGACTTTCTAAAGGATGTATATTTGGTATTTAATCTAGGTTTTTTGGTTTTTTTTGCCACAACGGGTCCCCATTTGCTATCATTGCTATTTTTGGACCTGCATTCACAGTTCATTTCACAGGATCTTAGTTGTATTTAAGCATTTAATCTATCCATGCATTGTAGGAAAACTGTGGAATGCTTCTGTATTCTATAAGTATTGTGGTATAGCTGTACACCCAACAGTTAGGATTCATGTCCAAAAGTCTCTTCATGCAGGCTGTTATGAAATAGTGTATAATATGACTCTTAGCCTGAAGGTCCATGATCCCCATGGGGAGATGTTCATAATGCGTTTTCATGTAAGGTTTAACTTTATTGTAACATTTTTATTTATTGATTTCTGTTAATATTGCAACTTAGACTCAAAACACACAACTTGAAATGTTTGCACAAAACTCTGCCATAACTGTAGGGATTTTGAAACTTTTTTTTTTCATAATAAAAGCTTGTTTGCAAAACAACGATATTTTAAAAAACATCCCACACTTTTGCTTTGAGGAATCTTGTGGAGTCACGGAGATTAATAATTTTGGTTTCATTGCGAGTTCCTGAGTAGTGAAGAGTAAGGGGGAAGCGATGGGAGATTGAATGAGAAGCTCTTTTGAAAAGTGATCTGTCTGAAGCTGTTTAAAGCCAGATGTTTATGGGTCCATAAATCATGTGAATAAACCACTACTTACAAAAAAGCACATAAGGAATGAAAAGTCGGTTGAGAAGGCATCATTGCATACTACAAAATCAAACCTTTTATTAGTTTTGAACTGCATCTATGTCTTACTCCAACCAGAGAACAATTGCCAGATAGGGTATCTTCAAAGGTCATGTTCAGTGAAACATGTGACTATTCCAAATCAGAGGGTTCAAGCCCTTCAAGTATTAATTCAAAAGACGGACTTGCAAGAGGTATGCCAGCCAGAGCATTTGTAACTTTGGCTTTTCTTAAGCTTAAGCATAGCTACCTCCCTTAGAAGGGATGCTGAGAAATATGCTGTAGACCCAGTATCAACTGAGAGCATCCTTTTAAGTTTATCCTCTGTGCATCACTTTAAATCTACAAGGGTATGCAAAGAAGTAAACTTGGCGGCTGCCCTTAGTTGTGGAACACTCTGACCCTGAAGAATCACCAAAATTTGAGTGTTGCTGTTCTCTTAAAGTGACCTATTTCATTTGCCTTTTGGTGACCAGAAGTAATTATAGTGTTAGAACTAAGTTCTGAAATGCGTAAGGATTTTTATAGTATTAGCCCATCTTGAGCTTTTGGGATATGGAAGGCTACAGACCACGTTCTCATGCTGTTCAGTCTATTTGGCTAAACTCATTTGCTTACATATTCAGTCTGTTGAGGCAGTTGAAATAGAATAATTGTTTATTAGGTGTTCATCTACAGACATTATAGCAGATGTTTTAATAAAGCAGAACAGCAGGTTTGGCTTAGCTAGATGTTTTGTTTCTGGTTGGAGTTGAAATGTAGGTAGGTCTTCCCCATTGAAAAGAAAAATATAGCAGGATCCCATTCAAGAATACTGTTCCAATTGGTTTTCTAATATTTTACAATGTAGGAAAGCCAAGTTCTCGTTTCATCCGTAGGTCTACCTGGATTTGTCTGTGTAGTTCTGAGACTGTTATTGGCGAAATTGTTGCTTTGACTTGACTGCATCCTATTCCACGCCTCCCTTCACCTTCAGTCCAGCCAATGTATAGAAAACCCATTGGTCCACCAAGGTGTTATTTATATGTAGCTAGTGCAGTAACCCTGACCAGCTGCTTTCCAAGAAGGAGTTGTCACTTGTCCAGGCATTGAATAATGTCAAGACCGTCCTGAGAGCAAAGCTTTAGAGATCCTTACATCATGTTTTAAAGGCTGCTTTGGTTTTAAAGTGGAAATGCTTCAAGGGTTTTCTTTTTAAAATGCATATGATTAAAATTACTTGCATAGCATTCTTTAGAAGAAGAAGAAGAAGAGATTGGATTTATACCCCGCCCTTCACTACCCAAAGGTGTCTCAGAGCGGCTTACAAACTCCTTTCCCTTCCCCTCCCCACAACAGACACCCTGTGAGGTGGGTGGGGCTGAGAGAACTCTGACACAAACTGCTCTTTTTCAAGGACAGCTGTGCCAGAGCTTGTGACTGACCCAAGGTCACATCAGCAGGTGCAAGTGGAGGAGTGGGGAATCAAACCCGGTTCTCCCAGATTAGAGTCGGCACACTTAACCACTACACCAAACTGGCACTTAATGAGCAGAAAACACTGGAGACAAGATGCAGCTTTTCTTCGTACAGTAACTTCAGTTAAGTACAATAATTCATAAATTTATTTTCTAAACCTAAATTTAGGATTACACATACTTGGTTTTTTTTAAAAAAAGAACCCAGTCTGGTAACTAAGTGAAGCTGAAGACAGCAGACCAACTACCAACAAGGTTGCGATGGGTAACCTAAGCTGTATTTGTGTGATGCCACACTAAGCCTCTTGGGAGAGAGTTGACTGCCATTACATTATAATCGCAGCATGCTGAATGATGGTGATCACTCAGTACACAGTTTTGGGTCACTGCCCATTCAGTTATCTGCCGGGAATCCAAACTAGAAGATGGTGGCTTCCCCAATTGGTTTCTGGCTGCCCCTTTAAAGTGGATGTGTGAGAACGCTTCAGTGTGTGACTATATTAAAGAACGTTTCATTGCACGTTTAGAAAGTCCAGAGTATGAGGGCAAAGCTCATTTAGTTGGGGAGAGGCAAGACTGAAGACTCACTTCAGTGTGAAGAAGGTTCTTTACGAATGTCAGGCCAGAAGCAGAACTCCAATAGATGTAAGTACACATTTCAAGTGATGCGAATACTTATTTAAAGTGACCGTGCCATCGGTACCAATGCAGAAGGTTATGATGAGTATATAAATTAACTATCGGGATTTGCTAACATTTAGGTTTCTTTAAACGTCTTGTACATTTTATCCTTTAGGATTCTCCTACATTATGCAATAATTCCTAAAGTATTAAACTGTTCTTCACGAGTGTATAGAGAAGGTATTGATCTTTTTAAACTATGGGTGTGAAAATGGAACGAAACTAATTTGCACTTTAAATGATAAGCTCCGTTGCTTGGAGTTGTGCCTAAATTAATCTAAATGCCTGTGGCTGAGTCTTTGTTGTGTATTGTTAAGATTTTTTTTTTAAAAAAGATGGAAGTTAACGTGGACGGTACAGTCCATAAAAATGCCTCCTGCCGCCTCTTGTCTCTGCCACCAGTTCTTCATTATCTCTGGGAAATGTTCATGGCACAGCATGCATGACTCCAGGACTTGAACCCTCACATGGTCATCCTACTAAGCCTCCTCCTGCATAGTGTGGCTGGAAACGGAGGTAAAAGAAAAGAAAAGAAACCTGTCAAGATGTACTTGTGGAAACTAATGCTCCGTACCTAGCAGAGGTTCAACTTCCCAGGTTTATGTGTCTACATTTGATTTTTTTTTTTTTTTTGGAGGTGTTAAATGGAACCCATGTGCAATACTAGTCCCTCAGAAAATCAGCGACGTGAACTACTGGGTTGATCAATGAGCATTGAATCTTTCCAGTGGCTCACAGGAAAATGTATTATGTGAACTCAAATGCTGATGTTTGCTTTAATGCAACTTAGATAACATAAACGGCATTTGTGGTTTATTTTGTCCCTTGCATGTCACTCCATATGCATTCATGAAGTGTTTCATATACTGGTAGGTTAGCATGCCTGGGGAAGAGTACAATTACTTTTTTGTATAACTCCCATTTTTGATAGGGATGCATTCTCATACTATTAAAATGGTTATCAGTTAGGAATGGAGTCCCCCCCCCCCCTTTTAATCTGGTTTCAGTGATTCTCTGAACATGTTGGACACAGTCTGGCCAAAGTTAAACACACATTGGTACTGCTATCAAGTTGAGTTTGCACAGCTCTCTTCCTACTGTAATCAGCAGGGCTTAAATGCTGCACTCTGGTCGGATTGTGCCCAGCTGAAACATGATCACGGATTCTGGTTTGGGAGTATTTTGCGGCCATTCTCTATGAACATTCAAAAAAATGTTTTGATCACTGCTGTGGTAAAGCTGCTCACTGCCTCTTTAAATGTCAAAAGCACCACAATAAATCCACATTAATGACAGTGTTAGTATTTGTTTTAAATTTCAGTACTAGCTGCAAACGTTCCCTTAACACATTCCCCCACCCTTTAAAATTTTTAAAAAAATGTTCAAAGTAAATACTGTATATTGGAATTTGCTTGTAAAGATGATTTAAGATCTTATATGTAAAGACTTTCTGCACTGTTGCTTTAGTGAATAAAATTCATGATTCTAAGTGTCTTTTGTTTAACTGTCATTTTGTCTTGTGTGCTGTCCTGGGTAATTCCTGGCAGTCTTCGTTCTGGGATCTTGACTTCAGAATTATTATTCTGCCACCTTGTGTTGTCGAGTGGAATCTTTACTGGCAAAATAGCCTTTGGCTGGCTCTGTAGAATGCCAGCATCTCTACATTTCCCCCCAGCGTGAGAAGTCTCCAGATCCCTTCTGATTTTAGATGCAGAATGAAAGAAAAATAATGTCACAGAGTTGCTGTTCTAACTGTAGCGTCTAACCTTTCTGGTTCTCTGATGTTCCATGTTTTAAGTTTGTCTTGATCCTTAACCGTTATACTCGGGTCATTTCGTAGAAAAAGAGGTGCAGGAGCTCATTAGCATAACTCATTTGCATAACTCATTTGCATATGCCACACCCCCTAATCACCGGAAGTGTGTCAGAAGGCAACACCCACCACTCAGGCTCCACTGGACTGTTTTGGATTGCTAGCTATTTGGGGGGGGGGGCGATGTGCAGATCTGTCCTCGCAGAGGAGGGAGAGCTTGTACCTGAATAAAACTTGGTCTTAAAGGTGCCACTGGACTGTTTTGGGCCGGGGGGAGCTCTGCAACTTACCTGGTTGCTTCTTGCTCTGACTGAGGGCTGCTGGGAGCAGGGGGCGGGGCTTGTTGCATGTGCCCGCCCCCTGGGCTCTTTACTGCCGGAGCTCCGCTCCTGTGCGCTCCTGCAGGAAATGACCCCTGGTTATACTGATGGCTCACTTAAGAAAAAACACTTTTCTTCCTTACACTGATAAATGCAGTGAAGCTGCTTGAGATTGTAGATCAGTGTTCTTCGTGACGCTTCAGCCACTGTCAAATCCCCCCCCTTCCTTACAGCTATCTGCTCTGCTTATTCCCCCCATTATCCAAAACAGTCCTTGTGCCAGGTCTACCATGTGAAAGCTATCCCATCACACGTTGAAGAACCCAGAAGCATGAGTGTTGGACTACATTGGGACCTTGAGGCTGATGTTTTACACAGCTCCCACTTTGACACAGTAAATCTCCCAGTGAGGGTCAGATGGAAGAGAGGCAAAGTAAATTTTGTCCCCTTAGTTTAGCCCAATACAAACTATGAATCTCTGTGGGAAATCTCTATGAAAAAGTAATGAACAAGTAATTATATCATGGAAGCCAGTAACATTTAGAGAGTCAGTTTGGTGTAGTGGTTAGGAGTGCGGACTCTAATATGGGAGAACCGGGTTTGGTTCCCCACTCCTCCACAGGCAGCTGCTGGTCTGACTTTGGGTAAGTCATAAGTTCTTTCAGAACTGTTCTCTCAAGGACAGTTCTCGAGAGAGCTCTCTCTGCCCCCCTACCTCACAGGGTGTCTGTTGTGGGGAGGGGAAGGGAAAGGAGTTTGTAAGTCATTCTCAGGTTGTGTCCAGACAGGCAGGTTGCCACGGCAGTATCCCGTGGAGAAAAAAAGCCGCTGGAGTTAGGTGCGCTTCACAGCATGCACACTGGTCCTGCAATGCTGGCTACATTGGGTAGCCAGCCCGTGAGGGCCGGTTCACATTGCTACCATGCCGCCAGCACGGAGCCATCGCTGATGCGCCCCTCTGATTGGTTGGGTTGCTGAAAACAGCATACTGCTGCGCCAGAAATGGGAGGGGCGATCACACGGCTCCTGCCCTTCCATGGCGCGCCTGCGCATTCAGATGCCAGAAAAGCCGCCATGGAAGCGCCTCACCTGGAAAACCACCAACTTTTCCTGGTGGCTGTTTTAAGGCGAATGGGAGTCATTTTGCAACAAGGTAGGGACGGATGGCTGCTGAGTTCCAGATGTGTGTGTCTGATCATGCCGCTTTGATCCGGGGGTGGGGGTGGCTATGCTGGACCAAATTGCCCGTGTGATCACAACCTCAGATTCCTTCAGGTAGTGAAGGGCAGAGTATAAATCCAATCTCCTCCTCCTCCTCCTCCTCCTCCTCTTCTTCCCTGGTGGAAAGTGCCATTAGGACGTAGCCCACTTATGGTAAGCCATAGGATTTTCAAGGCATTTTTGGCCACTGAGTGACAAGAGTGTTGAACTGGATGGGACATCGGCCTGATCCAACATTGGCTTCTCTTGTGTTCTTAAGACTTGGTTTGCCATTGCCTGCTTCTGTGTAGCAACACTGGACTTCCTTGGCAGTGTCCCAGCGAAGTACCAACCAGGGCTGAGCCTGCGTAGCTTCCAAGACCTGAAGTGATCAGGCTAACCTGTGCCATCCAGGTAAGGGCAGTAACTTTGGCACAATCCTAATATTCAATTATAGCAATTTAAAGAAAATGCTCAAATAAATTTACTTTTTTTGGTTCGAACTGTGCTCCCACCTGGCTAGTTCAGAAGAAAGCAGTGAGAGAGAAGATTTTGGCAGAAAAAGCCAGCTGTTAGATGGAGCAACTGCAAACAGAGAAAAGAGAGCCAAGAAGCCGGAATGGGTAAGGAAGCATGGAGACTGAGCCCTTGTAAGGGACAGAATGGGGATGCTGTGAAGCAGGAATCCAGCTGTGAGCCAGACAACAGGTGCAAGTAGAGGAGACAGATATTATTTCAAAAGTGGAGATGGCTCCTTGAATCATATGAAGAGGAGAGTCCCAGTACTTTCAGGTCT